AAATCTGTCAAAACCAGTGACGGAGTTTGGCAATTTTGGGCTCGGGGTAATGCTGAAACAATCACCCTGAAACATACCCCCCCCCGAAAATATATGAAAAATATATCAAGAATCGATATGAATTATTTTATTTAAAAAAAAAACAAAAATTACGTTTAAACCAGACAACTTTTTGAGATTATACAGGTGTTTTAAAAAATACGGGGCATAATTTCAGATATGTTTTCCCCATATGTAGACAATCAAAATAGTTACAACATGTGACCGGAAATGCTTCATTTTCGAGTTATGGCCTTCACAACACTGAACTTCGCCGAAACGCTTTTCCTTCCGCATGTCGTTGCCGTGAAATGACACATAAACGGGACACTCTGGCAGTTCATTCCAAGGCGAAGGTTACATTCAGGTTTGTGTTTGGCGTTCGACTGTGCGTCATCATCGTACTCAAATCAGGGGCTGCCAGACATGCACTTCATGTATGTACGGTAAGGCGGACCGCAATGCTGCTCTGCCTCGTCGTTTGTACCAGGAGAAGTACCCACAGTGACATTGTCTAGATCGGAAGACATTTGTTCGTTTCCATCGCTGTCTGAGCGAGCATGGGAAAATTAACTCTCGTGATTTGGGGAGGGGTCGCCAAATGTCTGCCACTCCAGCTGTAGGGGAGGAGATTCTGGACGCGGTGGACACGACTTCTATAAGCACACGAAGGCCAGCGTTGCAAGTGAATGTTTCTCATACGACTGTCTGCAGACTGTTGTAAGAGTATCAGTTGTATCCTTATTTGCAACATGTAAAGGCCCTGTCACAGTATATTACCGTGCACGAGTTAGGTGTTGTCAGTGTTTTTTTGCGGCAGTGTTGTGCAAATCCGAACTTTCCTGCTTTGCTATTATTAACATGTGAAACACAGTTCACGCGAAGTGGCATTAGTTTTTTACAATCAGCATGTGTGGGCATATGAAAACCAACGAGCAACTGTTCCATCTCACCACCAGGTGCGGATCTTCCTTACCATCTGGGCGGGTATCATTAATGATCGATTAGTTGGATCACAAGTACTTGTGAACAGACTTACGAGACAGGCGTACACAAACTTCTTGGAAAACAACATATCTTATGTTTATGAAGACACTACATTGATCAGTCGTCCACACGCTCTTTTTTTTGCAATGATGGCGCTTCTGCTCACTTCAGTTATACAGCTCGACGGTACTTAGATCTAAAGTTTCCTGATCGATGGATATATAGTGACCCAATTGCTTGTCCACCACACTCACCTTATCTGAGTCCTCTCCATTTCTACTTGTGGCCATTTAAAATCGTCTCCGGCGTCTGCTTTAAAATCCGTTCGGAATCGAATTGTCGCATCATCCGAGGACATACGCAATACTGCCGGAGTTTGGGATCGTGTTCGCAGGTTAATGAGACATCGGCGTGAGATCTGTATTCAAGCAGGAGGTGGACATTTTGAACATCTTCTGTAATGATTATGACCTGGATAAAGAAAACATTCCGGTGAATTTCAGCGTTGTGAAGGCCAGACACATGTTGTAATGAACTATTTTGATTGCCTACATATGGGGAATATACTCTTGAAATTATGACCCCTATTTTTGAAACATACTGTATTTTAAATAATAGTTTTATGTAACTGTATTTTGTGATCAAATAAGAAAATTTCAATAGTGTGCTTAAAACACTAAAAAACTTGCTTTGATGCATTTAGTTAATTTTTAATAAATTCCCTTTTTTAGTACATGAAATATTAATTTTATTTTCAGTAGAATCTATTTTAATAATAGCGTCATCCGATTACATACATTTTTTTCCATTTTATAGGTACATACTTGTACTTATAGTTAATGTAACTTTCATTATCTGAAACATACATATTGTGATGGTACTTCGCCACAAACCATACATATATATTTGATGAACCTGAAAGGCGCAGGGGTCTTGGTAGGGAGAAACGTCGGTTAGTGATGGCATGTGAACAAAACAATTGCGAAATTCTGGCAAGATCCGGATTAAATTAATCCTCAAACGATTATAAAGTAAATAAATAACACTTGACATTTTCTGAGCCCGTCGTTTCAACTGCCCTTTGAAAATTATTCCATGAAAAACTGTTATCAAGACTTCTAAAATGAGATCCCATATGCCAATTCGTTTAGAAATACCTTTTACTTTCAATATACCCTAAAAGTTTACATTAAATTGTACTCAACTGTGTCAATAAATTATTTACAACACATATTTCCTTTGGTTCATCATAAAGTTCAATACATCTTCCATTAAAAAAAAACCCGTAACGTAATTCTATTTTTACAAAGAAAATTTCTCAATTTGAAAGCGGAGCATTACATATTGTTAAATTTCAACCAATTTTATTTTAATGGTTTGTGACTTACAATTTGGAAATATTCAATTATCAGACTTGGAATTATATTCAATTACAACAAACCCATTGTAAGTTATTTCCCTTCCTAGTTCTCGTCTCTAAATTTGGCGATTTAAATGTCGTTTTACCGTTTCCCTCTCTATGCCCTGAACAAAACCTTGTAACACTCAATGTTCGCCGACCTCACGCGGCGGCCACTGGAATTTCAGCGAAGGTCGCCCGCGCTCGCGCCACCGCCTCTTACGAATACGCCGCTGCTGTACGCGAGGCAAACGTCTCAACTCCAGGCCACCGCGAATTCTCTTGCGTCGCGTTCGGTCCGCACCCGCACGGTCTCGCGCCTTTGTCCTCGTCCACTCGGCTTCTTACCACGTCCTCTTCCGTTCCCTTCCGCTCCGCCTCGTCCGACACTCTTCTTGTGCGCTGTTATCACAATTTGGGCTTTCGTGATTTTGAATATTGTGACGGTCCAAACAGACACGTCTCAAAACCAGAATTCAAAACATATTTTAATAGAAAAATGCGACATGTTTTGCATAGACAAATGACTGTTCGTGAGCGCAGAACCATATATTGATATATAACGCCGGATGTGACAATTTTGGAAACTTTTATCAGACCGTTATAGATAAATAAATGTTATATTTTGGAATGATCAGGGACCAGTTTACATGAGATTTCGGGAAACAAATTCGAAAAAAAATACAACTTTATTGCGAGACAAATGAACGGAAGAAACACGTAGTATGTAAGTAAAGATGAACATTTTAATAAACTGACTAGAAAGGGACATTTAAATATACGGGTATTACGGGAAAAATACGTTAGTAATTTACGTATAGAGCAATATACGAGAGAAAATGCAATTTTAGGGAAAATATGTAAGGAACAAATGACAGATAAAGAAGGCATTTGCTTTGGCGGACACTTCAGAGGTAGTTAGGAAAAGATAAACAGAATACCTGTGGAACTGATAGGGCACGGATGTACAGAATGCATATGTACTTAGTTGAGTTCGGATGTGGAAAACGTTACGTTTGCATATAAAGTGTAGTATTAATGCGAGATACTAATCGAAGTCGTTGACACATATGTAAATTGATGTAATATGGACACCCAAAGAAACTCGAAAGTAAATAAATCATGTTCCCACGTCTCTTGCGTTTAGTTACAACATTTACTCCGTCTCTATCACTCCTATCCCATCCTGACGTCTCGGCTAGTGCGTTGTTTTGCAAGACCTTTGTACGCACGCACGAATGCTCCCCCCGCTTCCACTTATCTGGTTTTAAGCGTCTGTAGTCCATTGTATGTACTCTCTGGTCCATTCCTCGGGTGCACCCGCCTCCACTCGGGGAAGCTCGAAACACGAAGATCACTGATGATAAGATGGCCGCCTCTCCTTGTGTCGCCGCACAAAACTGCGAGTATAGCTGCCAGCCGCAACCAATACTTTCCACACTGAAGAGGGCCGGTCGTTGCCGGTCCCTTGACCATTATTCGCGTAGACAGTTTTTCATGCAGTCCAAGAATCACAGCTTCAATAACTGCTGATGCGTTCAAGCCATACATGCATTTAGAACTCGTGTCTCACAATTCTGATTTTATCTCCACCATGTTCCGTACCAGAATGTTACGTATTTACAACAGTTCACTATTGATCACTGGTATAACTTGATGCAATGATTGTGCATCATTACAATTTAACGTAGTTCTTGATTACAATTTTGTATACCGCATACTGGAATAAATCGCCTTGTATACCCTTTCAATGAATTTTTTATAACGTGGCGACCGTTTCCCATTAGAATCGGCTATACACCCATCCAATTACTCACATTGGAATTCAATGTCACCGTCATGTTCTCTTTTGGTTTATGCAATAATCGCCACTCAATTCTTCTGACATTTTTTGAGGATTCGCACTAATAATACTCACTGTCAATTTCACAGCCACGAACACCTCTCGCCAACGCCCATCATCGTTCATCCTCCAAATAACTCACTTGCGACCCTTTTTGCCACCTACAATACTGCTATTACGTTACAGGGCGCACTCTCTACACGAATCCCAGTGTGTTTTAACTCACCTTCCCGCCATTTATCGTATTCCCACAGTGTATATTCGCAAATATGCTTAGTGTATATATATACATATACATTACATATGTATATTACATTATGTACATTACATGTGTATATATATACACATGTAATGTACATAATGTGTATATATATATATATATATATATATATATATATATATAAAGGTAGGTTGTTGTATGAAACATTTGTAGGTCAATTTGAAATTTAAGTTTAAGGAAGAATAGAGTGCTTATCAGAAATAAGGGGAAGGAAGACAAGGGCATCTTTCTAAAGCCACCTGATTATTTCTGTGGGAATGTAAACAAAAATAACTTTTTCGAACAAATCCAGAAACTATATCAGGACCAAAGAAGTGAAATCTGATATAAATGAAAGGGAAGTGAAGAGAGAATTAAATGAAACAATTCAGACCAAAAATATATTTTCGGAAGTTAGGCGCCAGGTTCAGTATGAAGGAAAAAAATAATACAGAAACGGAGAGAAAGAATGTGAAAACATTGAAGAGAAGCAAAAATAAAATAAAACAAGTTTTAAAGTGTGTATATAACTTTATATATATATATATATATATATATATATATATATATACACATAAAGTGATTATTATCTGGACCAATCCACAAATGTGCGACATAAACAAAGACGCACAGAGTATTTTTCATCTGAGGATAGGGTATAGTGTCTAGTCGACTTGATATTGTTATAATGGATTTTTCATTTATGTTGGATACAAAATGTTTTATTTTTATTTCTTGATTCATAGTTAAAATTTAAAACAAACATTTCATATTTTTAGTGACTTGCATTAGTATTGAAAATTAGTACAATCTATATTGTTTAATGTCATTCGTTTCGAGGGGGAAGCTGAAGTCCTAAGAGCCGATCCTCCCTTGGGTGTTCCACTAAATATGCACGTTTATCGACGTGTATCCATCCTTTACCTACGAAGGAAGTAATGGTCCATTAAGTACGGTCTTTGTCTGAAGTCTGCCATTCCATTTCTCGTATATCAACACTATCATTCCTTTGAGATATTCTGCAATAGATCGTGAGCTAAACAAAAGCTTATGGAGTTGTCGGGCTTCATTTGAAGCAATAAGAGACCTCCGACAAGCTGGAACCCCCACTTGTTCGAAATTCAAAATCAACTAGCTTATAATTTTGTACTAATTATGGACTACTTTTGTACCACTATAAAAAAATTTGTACTCAACTATAAACAATAAAAAAAAACACTTCCAAAAGTGGGGGTGCTAGCTTGACGTCACGCTAGCACCCCAACTTCTCATAAATTCAAAATCAACTAGCCTAAAGTTATCTTCTAATTATGTACTAATTTTGTACTAAAATAAAAAAAATTCTACTCAACTATAAACAATTAAAAACCGGGTGCCAATGAAGCACTTTACACTTATATTTTCCGATTTTTTAAACACATTTTGAGTCAAATATCAACGTTGAAATTAATAATACAGTTTAACAACACAGTAAACTTTTACATGTACTAATTTCAAAATTTTATCTGGTCCCTCAACAGAAATATTACAGTCTACAAACAAAAAATTGCGAGCGGTTAGAAACAAAAGTGTCCGCGATCGCGCCTCCCTTCGCAGAAATTCAAAATCGGCTCGTCTGTATTATTCTGTTAGATAGGTACTAATTATCTAACAAAATAAATAACTTTGTACTCAACTATAAACAATTAAAAAACAGCTGCCAATGAAGCACTGTTCACGTATATTTTTTAAAACACATTTTTTAAAACACAAAAATCAAAGCTGAAACTAGTAATGCAGTTTACGACCAAAGTGAACTTTTACAAGTTATAATTTCAAAATTTTATCTGGCCTCTCATCAGTGTTATTACACACTACAAGTTGGGAGCGCCTCCAAACAAAAGTGCCCGCCACCGTATCCCCCTACCCAGAAATTCCAATTTAATTAGCCTATAATATTCTATTAACTTTGTACTTATTTTGTAACAAAATAAATAATATTGTGCTAGACTATAAACATTTGAAAAGCGGGGGCCCATGAAGTTCATTCCATCTAAATTCGCGAATTTTTAAGCCTGTTTTGAATCAGATATCGGAGTTAGAATTTATAATGTAGTTCAACATTATAATTAACTTTGATATATAATAATTTCAATATTTATCTTGTCCCTCAACACTATCATTACAGTCTACAAACGTGAAAAACGCGCGGGTGTGTCCGCCGCGCACGCCCGTTCCTTGAAATTCTAATTCAGACTTTTTTATTCTACTAATTATATACTAATTTTGTAAGAAAACAAATAATTTTGTTCTTAACTGTAAACAAATAAAAAAACAGATACAAATAATGGACTTTTCGTGGAAATTTGCTATTTTTAAACACAACACTATTTTTAAACACAAACAAATTTTGAACCAAATTGGGGAATTGTAATCTATTAGGCAGTTTGGTATTATAGTGAACTTTTTAATGTTATATTTTCAAAATTTTATCAGAATCCTTAACGGAGATACAGTCTACAAAAACGAAAGATTCAAGCATCTCCATACAAAAGTGTTCGCTATCGCACCCCATTCTCAGATATTTAAATTATACTAGACGATCATCTTTTATTAACTATGTACTAATTTTGTTACAAAATAAGGCAAATTGTACCCAACTTTAAACTTTTAAAAAAGCGTTGCAATGAAGCATTTTCTCATCAATTTCCAGTTTTTAATAAATCCATTTTTAGTCAAATCTCCAAGGTGAAATTTACACTGCAGTTTGGTCCTATAGTGGTGTTTTACATGCAATACAAGCACAATGAAACGATAGTTACATAAATATTATTTTAGTGATTACTGATATATCTTGTGATGCACATAATTTATCACATTATTTGTAACGTTTGCAAATTCCAAACACTGAGGGCGTCTAACTAAAATTGAACATACTACTATTTTATAAGCATTCTGATCCGTAAAAGAAAGATATTTTGAAAACAGATTACTGGTCGTTATTGAGAAAATATTTCCTTTAATTGCCATTATTGAAGCTAAATTTGTTGAGGCCTTTGCTAATGATCTGCCCTTGGAAAACAAATTTATTAAACAAATCTGTATCATTGAAGGGTAAAGTTGCAGGATAACAAAAAAAATAATTTCTGCATTTTTGAAAATTAGTTGCTCAACGAAATAAATACTGAGATATTATTAGCCGTTCTTTCCTCTGTTCGTAAAAGTATGCAAACAATTGGAGCTAGTTTTGAGTAATGTTTAAGAATGTTGTTGAGAATTTATATAATGTACCCCAAAAAATCAAAATATTTGTTTCAAATTCGCAGATTCTTGATTTCGGTCACATCAATCGAGGAATATCAATTTAGGGGAAGTTTTACTTTCTAATTGTCGTATGCTAATGACTGTTATGACGGCATTACAATCATGCCGGCATAATAACATTTCATAAACAACAACGGCATAAATATTATTTTGAAGTAATAAATGAATACTTTTCCAATATTTTTAATTTGATTTTGCCCTTCCTACTTGCTTGAATAAGTACTTGAATGACTGGCATGGTAGAATAACCCTCAATCCGCTACGATAACGTTTAATTAATAAACTGTAACAGTGATAAATTTCATTTTGGGGAAATAAATTAGTACGTGCGTAATATGTTATCTGAGTGTTCTGTAGATATACGTAGTACTGACATAATTCTCAGACGTTGGCTAGGGCGCATATGAGGAGGGTACAGACGGATTGCTATTTGCTACTAGATGAAATTTGCAACTCGCATGAGTTACATATTCCGTTATTCATTTCAAACACACCCAGCTGACACGAGTAGGCGTTACTGTCCACACGGC